ATATATATATATATATATATATATATTGTATTTGTCAAATCTAACGACTTGCCTGTAAGTAATTATTTATATGAATAAAAAAACCTCCTAGCACAGTTTAAAGAAATTATGTAATAATTCTTAATATTAAATGTTTGTGAAAAAATTAACTTACACATTACAATAAGGAAGTTTGTTAAATCCTTTGTATGTTTTCATATTAAGAGTCATTCCACATTCTTGGCATTTAAAGCATCCTTTGTGCCAAATCTGTCAAAAAAACAAGAATAAAAAAATCAGGAGAATAAACATAAATATACATCTTGCTATTTGTTGGTAATTTATTTGGTATATATTTTTTTGGTAATAAATTACTACAGCATATATCTATTATTTTAAAATTATTAAACGTCTGTAATTATAAGATTAAACTCAAATAGAAATGTATTTCATAGGCAAAAAAATTTTAGGGCACTTATTTTCTTAATCTTCTCATCAATAAATACATATATAAAAATCATAGTTTTTGTTGTTGTTTTTTTCATAAAAGATTTACAACATTCCTTATAATGTATTGCCTTTTTTTTTTCTTCTAAATACCAATACAATACCCATACATTTTCATCCAATACAGTGTTGTTGTTTTTTTGTATTAAGTCACTGGGGTTGATTGTCTTAATGTTTAAAAAGCCTTTAATAAAATGCCACAACTTTCAGTTTGGATTTTTATGTACATAAACAGAATTAGACTGGTGGTAAAAAGCAATGGTAATGGTCATTTTTCCATTTGGTAAAATGTGAAAAATAGAGATCTTGAGTTGTCTGTTTTAAGACTTTTGCTGTTTAGCATTTATGTCAATTATTTGGATACCCTCTTAACACATACATATATATATATATTTATATTTGGGGGAGGGGGCAAAAGGGATATTTGCCTCCATAGCAGTTATCAAGGGGACCCCAATTTTTGTAAAAATCCCTAAAAAGATTGCAAAGTTCTCTGGTATTAATCAGTGGAAAAACACGTATGCATAGTGCCACCTACATCTGCCGAGTTATTTTATTAACTAACAAGTGACATGCAATGTTGAAAATATAAAATAATACCGCATCCAACGACCCCAAAATATCCACTCGACATTCCCCCCACCCGAACAAGAAACCATCCTAGAGCTGGATTATGTATATTTCTTTTCTTGACTTACAAGTGACATCAATGGGATTAAAATAAAAGTCTTCTGTCACTTTTCTCTATTTTGTAATCTTATGCCTGGTAATAAATTATAGTTAAATGCCCAACAACATTTAAAATATCCAAGTTGGCAAGTGAGGTTATTATCATGCTCAGTTTTGATTACTTTTTGATTCACATATAGGAAACAGCAAAAAGATTGGCTACTATTCTTATGTTTAGATTAAAAATTTTGAGCTCTAAGGAGAGAACTAAACAGTTTTACTTATACTTATTTCAGTGGTATGAATCAGGAGTTAAGACGTTTGAGAAATTTGAACAAAGTAATCCAAATATTAGAAGTACATGTATACTTCAAAAATTTAGATCCAAAATTATGACTTTATTATAGTTGATAACTTTGAAACAGGTTCTATAAAGATGTGGTGTCTACTATAATTTGGTTTATTCTTAGCTATTAAGTTCAGTTGAAACATTAATTAATTCATTGTCAAAATCAAATGCTTTTGCTTTCTCTCTCTAAGTCTATGTCCATATCTTTAGAACTGTTAAGCCTCCATCATTTACCAAAATTTATTTATAGATGGAGAATATTTGATTAATCAATATTATTTTTACATTAATATTAAAAATAGCATAATATAAATGCAGTAATACTATTACTCGTAGTCATACTAACCTATATCTATTCCTAGTAGTACTTATGAAATGATAATAATAGGATAGTTTTATATTAAATCAAAATTCAAAGACATGAAGTCATATTTTTAATAATAGAAAGCCTAGCTAGATCATTTGCAACGACAAAAATTATAGTTTAGCCCTAAGACTCTCTTAAATTAAGATTAATAATAAGAACCAAAAGACAATGCCCAGTATTATTCTGGCACCACTGTGTAGTATATCATTATGAGTGGTGCATTGAAAAATTTTGAAAAATGTATATAAAATTAAAAGCTTAACTGTAAAATCAATCACACATTTAGTTTTAATCCTTTAATTAGATACAAAAATTCTAATAAGCTCACACGCTAGTTAAGTTTAAGTTTTATCGTGGGCATTAATTTCAGGACATTAAAGTGGATGACTAGTAGTACCTTGTCAAGACATTTTAACTCTTCAAGAGGGTAGACAGTTTTCTCACACCTAGCACATTTTTTCGCACTCATTGTAATTTGTAGGGAATGGTACAATTTTTCACGATGTATCTTTTATAAACGTGTAACTTCACGGTCGCGCACAAAAATTCAAACCAAAAACAATATTTTATTACTAAATACTGTATGATTTAATATATACTGATATATGAAACTAAGACTCTAACTAAAGTATAGGTATAATACACAACACATATAACCAAGTAATCGAGTACAAATACTGTTACTTTTAAGTTTGAAGTTTGACTTGCCTCGATTGAGGACTTTTATAAACCCGATTTAAAGTGTAGCGAAAAACAATAAATTTAGTTAATTATTTAATATGATCTTTTGTATTTTTATTGCTTATTATTTTAATTTTGTTGAATAATTTTCTTTAAAAAACTAATAAACTTTAATGTAATAACGAGTTAAAGTAATTGATTTCTTTTCACCATTTCCCAATTTCAACATTGTATTGCGCATGAGTAAAACATTCCTCTTACTATCCATGAAAAATGTCTAAGCGAGGTGAGGTTATAAACTAGATTTTATATTTTATTTAATCTTAAAATTCTTTAACCATCTTACGTAAAATGTGTAATGAACACGTTAATTAAATGCGACTACCAATTATTTACTGAATATTAATATGTAATGATTTGTTATTTTTGAGTAAATATTGACTGAAAATAGTATTGAATGAAATTTCAAGTTTCAGACAATGGCGTCTGATTTAGGTTTAAAAATATGTTAGTGTTATGCAGAATTATTTGATTCATTGGAGTGTAGGTTTAAGTTTAACGTGTTTTTATTTTTGTGTTTTCTTTTAGAAAAGAAAACGTATGTGTATACAAATATATATATATATATATAATTTATTTAAGACGGATAACTGAGTTTGGTCAGATTGTTTTGTCTAGTTTTTATATTCTGACGTTAATTAATACAGTAATAGTAATGATAATATACAATGAAAAGTAATGACATTCCGGTAACAGCTTAATTTACAGGCGAGAAATATTCTTGTTCCACTGACATGTTAATATCGTTTCAAAGTAACCCCCAATTTTCCAAACTATCCATTTCTGTGATTGCACTATGCACGTGGTTTGCGTTTTAAAAGTTTGTTTTAAAAACTTCACGGTGTAGATAGATAGTTATGCATGCTTGCAAAGAAAGTATATGGCTAGTTGCAAGAATATATAAATGAACAAAACACTCCCTGGTCAATCATCATAGCATTAAAAAAGATGGGTATACAAGATGTATAAACTATTTATCCGAGTGAAGAAAGCTCATTATTTAGCAAAAGCATCAGGTCAAAGATACATGGACAAACATAATGAGTTGAGTGCTACAACACTCGGTGATAGTACATATATCCTGAATGGTTCAAAGTGTGTTAAACAATTGGATAGCATTGTCAGAGATAGAAACCATCAAAATTCTTGTGCTGTAAATTAAATACCGTTTCAAATTTTGTGTTCTGAGAAAATGAAAACTTAATTTATAGAAAGATGCTAGGAAGCAAATAAGTCATTCACTAAGGCTTATTAACATAATAATAATTATAGAATAAAAGTATAAATACCTTTTATTATATTTTAATATAAATTTATTACGATTATTACAGTGTGGATTTTATGCCTCGTATAATTTTTAGTTTGTTCCCATTAAGTCCCCCGTGGGACAATGGTAAGTCTGGATTATAATGCTAAAATCAGGGGCTCAATTCCTCTCTGTGGACACAGCAAATAGCTCGATATGGCTTTGCTATAAAAACTTGTTCCCGTTAAAGTTCAGTGGACCTGTTCGTTATGAAATTGGCTCATGCAATTAACGGGTGAAAATATCATTGATTCATAAATGTAAACATCTGGACATTTTTTGAAAGAAAAGACAAAACTTTTCTGTAGGCCTTACAAAGGCTATATAGCAGTCGCAGCCTATTTATACATAATTGATCATGAAGTATTTTTTTATAATATTATTCTTATAAAAAAATAAAACATGCAAAATCTATAATATCCGATTAGTTATCAAACATTTCTTAAGAAAAAACTTTATATTTTATCTGTTATTTTCAGTAATTAATCTGTATGGGAGATCAGTAGATTTGACCGATCTTGCAACCACCATAAAAAATTAGGAAATAAATGTAAATTATGCCTCTTTCATTCTAGAATGAACGAAAATTATAACATGAAAATGTAAATGTTTTGACAAAATAGCTTAAATCTCATAACATAATTTATATATATTTATTACATTGACCTTTCACCCGTGCCTGGCTAACAATACAGAAGTTACAACGATGCGACTCACTAGCACTCAAGTTACCTGTCAAATAACATAAAAGGTTACCTTTTGTCTGTACAAAGTAACTTGTCTTGGCTATGTTTTAGTAGGCAAGTATTTTATAAAATACAGTCACATTTCAATTATTATACATTATATATGTATATAGATTATTGCTATTTTGAAATAAGTTCTTAAAGTTATTTTACCTAAAACATAGAACAGTAAATAAAGAAGTAAAGCAAACAATTATCTCTTCTAGTTACGACCTTTGTACTCGGATGCTGCTTGATGTAGGTTGCTAAGCCTTTAAAATTTTGCACGTGGAGGATATGAAACAATTTGTTTTTTTAGGTTTTATATATATATATATATATACATTTGAATAACTAAAAAATCATAAATTACTACATCAATACCATAGAATTCTAGTATAATTTATCAAGCTTAGTAACTACGCTTTATTTGGGTGTAAAAAAATATGAAAGTTCGAGCAGACTAAAGGCACACACTATCTCATTGAAATCTTGGTTCAAAAGAAATAAATGGTGGAAGGGACTTTAAAAATGCAGAGCAACCACTAACGGGACATTCTGAGCTTTCAATTGATTATTCATGTCATAATAGTAAAGCTTTAGCTTGTGTTATTAATCATTATTCTACAAGTGTGATTTTCAAATGATGTAAATAAAAATTTATAATAATTACAATGAATTTGCTTAATCTAGACCACTACTATGTATATCATATTCCAGTCAGCAGGATGAGCCCTGGTATTGGACTAAAGGCTTCATCAACACTGAATATGCTACATATAGTATGGTTGACATATACCATATTCTGTTTTATGTCTCCGCAGAGAGACATAGAGTTTTTCTATTGTTTCTTTCTTTCTTTCAAAGATGATTAAATTGAGTACATTTCTTGGTGGATTGACTTGAAGCTTCGTAGGTTTATACCTTGGTCCAATATGCCCAGTCATCTTTTTAAATTTTTTTTATTTAGGCTTTTTTAAGAATTTTTGTGGGATCAAAGGTCAACCCAAAAATTTATATTTTTAGCTCCTGTGTGGTCATAGTTACAGCAATGAGGATGAAAATTGGCACTGATATAGATTGTCATGTGTTCAACACAATAATTTACAAAAATATTGGATTTATTCATTTTGAGTCTTTTTAGGGAGTTTAGAGCTCACAAAAAAAATGTTTTGGTCAATTACTCAGCCATATTTTCACCAATTTGCATGGGATTTGGTAGAAAGACTTTTTTGTTGTAGAGGGAGGTCAAGATGCCACAAAAAGCATAAATTTTAGGGTTTTGTTTGACAATTAATCTACCAATTTATGTAGGGTTCATTGCAAATATACACTTTTTTACAGGTCCTGTACTTAGCCATATTTCAACCAGTTTATGTGGGATTTAGTACAGAGATACTTTCTTGAAGGTCCTAAGCAGTGATACAAACAGTTTTTGACTGACTTTTCAGTGTTTTTCATGATTTTTCTGATGTCAGAGTTGGCTATGTTGGAATAGCATGGTGGAGGCCATGTTGTATTTGCTCGAGAATGTTGGTCTTTGGAACTATAAGTTATTACAGTTGATATACTACTAACTTATTACATTTCTTTTTCTTTTTTTCTTTGCTTGTTTTAAGCGTCAGGTGAAATTTACCTTCCTATTATTTTACAGGACGTGGAGGAGCTGTCGGAGCCAAATTTCGCATCTCACTAGGTTTGCCTGTGGGTGCTGTTTTGAACTGTGCAGATAATACAGGTACATTTAGATATTTCAATAAAAGTGATCTTTTATGTTTTTCTTTCATAAGTAAGTGCATTTTATGTTAAGGTATTTAAAGATTATTGCAACTGACTGCGTTGGTAACCTGTTATTTAAATTGTGTGTAACAACTCATTCTAATACAAAATATTCATGCACTCTGATAATACAGGAATATCCTGTGTACTTAATGCCAATAGAAAACTAGAGGGGCAATCTGTATAGTGCATACCACCACCACACAGTGTTGGTCATATTCGATTCTCATTAAATATGAAATTTGTCTGTATGTCCATTATTATTAACAGACATGAGCCATTTTTAGCAACACAATGAGGAATAATATTTTACATATGTCCACCAAGTCTCATCAAAAAACAATCAAATAGTGTAAAAATTGGTCCTAATGTTAACAGATAGGGATTTGTTTTTGTGACCTTGACCATCCAAAGACTAATCGCTTCTAAGTTGGGTCATAGTTCAAATATATATATGAACTTTCATCCAAATCCATTCATCATTTTTGACAAATCTTGACGACAAACATACAACACACACACACACACATTCAGCAGTGAAAACATAACCTTGGAGCACTAGGACCATCCAGAATGAGACCTGAAACAAGTCATATCCTAGCCATGGTAAGAAGTGCCGAGTCTTGGAACAAATGGGAATGTATAAACACAAGGTTCAGTGGCCATCCATGTGACCCAGGCAACAGTACACAATGTAATCAATAAGGATCCCTATTTGAAAAAGTGACACAAGTCATTTATACATAGGTTGCTTCCATGATATATTTGCTCAACTGTCATATACCTCAATCAGCTGGAGAATAAAATAAGTATTCATACTATTCACTATAGAAACATACAGGTTAAGTCACTTGGTGCAGCACCCATGGATTTCTGTATGATCAGACTGTTGAGCATACCATCCACCAACAACACTAGATTGATTATGGAAAGTTGCAGTGAGAAGGGTTGCTCTTTGAACATGATAGCCTTTTGCAATAGAAACCATGCTGCATTGATATTGTCAAGAGTTACGGTTATTATATAATGCATGGCAGGATATGACAATATGGACTGTAAGGTTGCGATGAAGCTTCAAAATTATTTTAATATAATGTACTCAACCTATGTTTCAGGTTAAGATAAATCAGTTGCTGGCAGTAAACTGGAATTTTTTTTTCTTTCCATAAGAATGTTAAACTGAAATAAAGAAGGCATATTAAAATGAGATTCACAAGTGTTACAAAATACTGTTACTTCATATGAGACTGCTGTGAAGTTAATTTGACAGAGTGGTTTGTGGTCGTGCAAGATTTTTATTAACTGATGTTTGGAAGTGTTAAAGAAAAGGAAACAGCACTAAAAACTAATAATATTTAAACATAACTATATGCAGTCTCTTTATTAAAAATGTATTTTACAAACCTGCAGCTTGGAATTGGAGAAAAAAATTGAGTATGTACAAATAATGTAGTCAGTATACAGTCAAAAAATGAAGTTTTGTTTTTATCTATCCATTGATCAGTCTTTAACTGTTAGTTGTGTTAAAATTTATTCAAATAACTTAAAAATGGGCATTAAAACTTTCTTGTTCATATTAGTATGTTCATACTTTGTTGTATAATTTATAACATTAGTTATATATTGTGTAAAGAACATTTAAGGATCTTAATTTGTCTTTCAATTTCCAGAAGTAGTTTTTAATATCATTGCAACATCCTGTTCAGTATTGAAAGAGTACCTTTTTGAAGTTTGTGTTTATTGATTTTTTCACAGTGGTTCATTTTTAAGTATTATATTTCATATCACACCACTGAGTTATTCATAGTACAATTTATGAAAACTGTCGAATTAACTGTCTTTCTCAAATTGTCTTACTTTAGGGGGGAAGAACATATTCGTAATTGCAGTAAGTGGAATCAAAGGCCGCCTAAATCGTCTTCCAGCGGCAGGAGTAGGAGACCTTATAGTAGCAGCAATTAAAAAGGGAAAACCAGAGTTAAGAAAAAAAGGTAATGATAAAAGAACTAACAGTGATACTGACATTAGCCTTAAATGAGAAAAGAGCTACTACCATTAGAAAAGTTGCTTTAACTTATTTATAAAGTTTTCTGCACCAGTTTTCTGATGTTGGAAAATATTTACAAAGCAGAAGAAAAATGTTAAAAATAGTAATATTTTATGATTGTGCTTCTTTTATTGTGGATATTGATTTCATAATTAGTTAAGCATATTTATCTCTTAAACAGTTATGCCTGCTGTAGTTATCCGGCAACGGAAACCATTCCGTAGGAAGGATGGTGTGTTCATTTATTTTGAAGACAATGCTGGAGTTATTGTGAACAACAAAGGAGAAATGAAAGGTTAGTTCTGATTGATCAAAGTAATAGTACTTGTAATGAATTCCATAGGTACATATTGGTTTCCACCTGTCCATCTTGATCTTTCAGACAGGATATCTCAAGATCGGATGGGTGGATTTTGACCAAACTTGTAATCTACACAAATTTCTAGACTTAATTAACTTTTGAAGGTCAGAGTGAGGGACATGGGTGTTTCACAAATATAACTAGCATTTGTTAGACTAGATTGGGACTATCTTAAAAGTTAATAAAGTTTTCTGGGTGACCAGTTGTTCTAACATTAAGCAATTATTAGCATTGTTCTAACTATACATTGGGGTCCCATTATAACACGAGGTCTTTTCAAAACTGCCAAGCCAGTAGTCGGAATAATGCGGAACTACAGATAATCTGGTTTAAACAACCTAATAAACAAATAAACCATATGACCTGATGCAAACAAAATGAATACAATCAATTCAAATAAATAAAATTTTATTTCTTCTGGTGATAAAAATTTGACATGTATTTATACAGAGAAAAAACTATTCAATTACAATGGGGAAATTTCATTGGCTAAACCTTTTAATTAGTCACAAGGCTGCTGTCTCTTGGCTGATTTGGAATCTAACTACATGTTTTATTATTAAAATAGCATTGAAAGTATAATCGAATAAAAAACGTGGTTTTGTCATTTGTGGCAGCGTTTGACGCGTTGCAAAAAAAGAGTGGAAATACATTGTCTAAGGATAGAGTTAAATGAAAATTTGGGATCCAAGACAGACCCACGTTATAGTGGGGCCCCAGTGTGTTTGGTTAATGTTTTGGCACTTAAATAGCTCTTTTAGTGCACCTAGCTTAAAATCTGAATTCCAGAAGTAAAAATTTATTGTAAATTATAATATATTTCACTTATTGAAAACTTTCTTTCACTCAACATCCTTTTTCAAACAACCACAACCATTCTCTCAAAGACCAGAAAAAAACTTGACATACAAACATTTTAATGTATTGGAAAAGAAAGGTGACAGAAGTAAAGATGATTAAATTTATGCCGTCAACTTGAAAGAATCTGTACTGTTTGCTTTATGAAAGTAGTCAGTCTGATAATGATAAAGTGACGTGTAAAAATAGTCACCAAATAACCAGAATATTTAAGCTGTGTTTATGGTTCCTCTGAATACAGATCAAAATTCTTTGCTTCTTAATCTTTTACTACAATACAGTGTTTAATTCTGTGTTTAATTCTTGCTAATCTAGCAGTATTAATCTGTAAAATGATTTACCTATTATTAAAATTGTGTAGAAAATTGTTTTTATCCAAGTGATATTTTTAACTAATGACCCAAAACAAATTTATAATAGCAACTTGCTTTCTGAGATTTTACACTTTTTTTACAGTATTGTATTGAGGATTTTGAACAAGATGTTGTACTGTATTGTTCGTCTCTTTTACTCTCCTTGAAAAATTAATGAAAGTTCAGACATGCTCTCTAGTTTTGTTTGTGTATTTGTGCATAATCTGAAACCTGTCAAGAAATAACCATGCCTTGTCTGTTCATTTTATGTTAATTATTTCTGTGTAGAAATCATATATATAACTAATTTATCATAATCAGTTTCTCATATATAAATTAAGATTACTCTAGAGCACGATATAAATGTGATGATTGGATACACAACCAGACAGGGCATGGGCTAAATTATACAGTCACTCACACGAACTTTAGAAGAAGAAAAACGTGTTTCAAAAAATGAAACAGTTTAATGAGTTGGAATTTTGTTAGTATATTTAATTCAAATAACATTTGCTGGTAAAAACAAACAAATAAAATTTTATTGTATGGCCAGATAAGTAGGAATAGTCTATAAATCAGTGTTGTAATGTTGGATAACTGACTTATCACCAAGTTTTTTAATTATTATTTTTTATTTGTACTTAGGTTCAGCTATTACAGGACCAGTAGCAAAAGAATGTGCAGATCTTTGGCCAAGAATTGCATCCAATGCTAGTAGCATTGCATAATCTGTGGATAAAAAGGAATGATTATGTATATTGATTTTGCTGTTGGATAATAAAAAAAATACTACTGCATATGGTTTCTTATTTACATAGATAAGGAAAGTATGAAGAATATTAAAGAATACAGCATATTACAGTTTTTGTAACAGTAAACCATATTAGTTTACATCAAGTAAGTAAACTGGAGTCATAATTGTGTTCTTGAACTTCATCACCTCAGAAGTGAATGATATAATAAAAGTTATCTTTAAAGTCAGGGTGTGATATTTAATATTACAATCATTGAATGATAGCAGCTTTCAGTATATGGTAATGGAAATAATAAAAAGTAGGTAGTTAGAGTTCAGTCGTACTGACATGATCGATAAAACTGACTTATAAAACAATAACTTCCAAGGGTTTATCTCTGTTCACAACTTAGATTTTGACTGGAGCCTAATTAATGCATTTGTTAAATGGGTAATTTTCCACATGTCCAATATAGTAAGTAAAAATAAAGTTATTAAAAACTCAAAATAGTTTAATGAAATATATATTAAACAAAATTTATTAAATGTGTTATAGAAATAGTATATAATAGAAAAGAAAAGACAGCTTATAATCAGTTATTTTTACTACCTTAGTGTAAGTTTATCAGTTAACAAAAAACTGATAATTTTGAAAGTGGTGTACTTGCATGTGTTAGTAGAATACATATTTTACATAAGTTGAATATTGGAACCTCACCACATTGTTAGAGTCCATGTTGTCTCATCTGGTCATGCACTATCTGAGGACTGTGCATTTTGATAATAGTGTAATTTACATTGCAAAAGGCTTCTTTGGAAGGCTGTCATGTCTAGAGTGCGCCATTCCTCCCTGTAAGCTTTCCATGAGCCATCTAGTGTATAAGGATAATGGTTTCCCACTACTCCCTCTAAACAGCCCAATCACATAACAATCCATAGATTCTTCATCTGGCAACTTTACCAATATGATTTCCTATACAATAACATGAATACCCATTTCATTCTCCAATACTTGAATGAATATATCATGGAAGCAACTAGAGCTGGGTGATTAGTGGAATTTACTAATTGATTACATTCAACTAATACAAAAAATGGCATGTCAAGAGGTGTTTTTTCCACAGTCTTTAACATCATAGCATGTCTCTATTAATTTTTTTAAAGAAACTTTTAATATTAAAAATAATTTTAAAGGAAGTGCACTCTGGATTCTATGCTGTACCATAAGTTGAAGATCGTGACTTTAGAGGTCAAAGCTATTCAGTAACTTCTGGCAGTTCACGTGGTTTAAAATCAAATGTGGATATTTTTTTAGTTCTTGTATAATAAACGTTTGGAGAGGGCTTGAATGGGTAACAAAGAAAATGTTGTTACAATTTTAACATGTCAGGATGGTGACAAAATCTTGCCGAAACGTACGTTTTTTACTATGTTACCCATTCAAGCTTCAAACCATAAGACGTGGGTTCTTCATCATCATATTAGTTTGGTATGTTCAGTTACAACAAAGTTACTCGCAGAGCAATGGGATAGGTCTACTTAATAAGCGGAGATTTATCAAGATATCATTTGTGAAGTAATGATATATCTGAGAAATCAGACTGGTTAAATCCAGACTTCTTTACTTTGCAAGAAACACCATATTTACTCAGAATGACTGGTCATTCTCATTCAAGCATAGATGAAGCTATAACCTCGAGATTTCACCTGAACTATCATTGAAGGACACTGCTGTAGATATTTTTGCAGTAGTGTAGAAATACCTCTCATCAGGAGAACAAATATCCACTCGGAAATAACATAGCTAGAGTGAAATGAACTTCACGACTACATGTTGTTTGAAACCTGCACATCTACGGAATAGATGATGAATTCAAGTTAAATACTATACTTGTTTGTTTGTAAATGAGCCACACAATGGGCTGTCTGTGCTCTGCCCACCACGTGTATCGAAACCCGGTTTCTAGCGTTGTAAATCCGCAGACATTCAGCTGTGCCACTTGGGGGCGAAATACTATAATATTGGAAGAATAAAATGCATATGTCACGGAATGAAATATGTGAAGCATCAAATTGAAAAAATATATATTTTATTTCTAACCCAACGGTAAGTCTCTGGGCTTATGACGATAAAATTGGGATTTCGATATCTGTAGTGGAAACAGCTCAAATAGTTTGTTGTGTAGCTCTGTTCTTAAAAATAGATAAAAACTTTAGTTGTGTCGGTGACTACGTAAACCAATTAATAAAACAAAGTCTGGCCTAACATAGTAACTGTTTTAAAGGAGGTTTTTGGTAAAGTATTTATTACAGAATTCATCTTTTAGTTTTTCACAAAAACAGAATAGCCCTTCTCATTACCCTTTGAGAGGTCTAGATATGTAGACATTCCATATAAAACTGAAGAAAAACTAACCATTATGTAGTTCAAATTAAGCACAATATTCCTGTCAAATTCTCACAAAAACCCGGCCCTAAATTAAAATCGTTACAAAACAAAGATTACTTAAAATCAAACAATACCAACTCGTTTACAAAACAACTGCCCAGAATTCTACATCGGAGAAACAGAAAGAAAATAGGAAACAAGATTCACAGAACATA